CCCTGGGGCCTGGGAATGTCCCCTTTGACGGCCAAGGAGGCTTTGCGGGTGTGATTAAGGACTCTGAGCTGGGGCTATCTGGCCCGGCGTCAGCACGAGGCCCACGAGGGAGGCAGATGGAGAGTTAGCAGAGAAGGTGATGGGAGAACCGTCTGGTCTAGCAAGGACTTAGCAGTGTTCCAGGAGCCTCACAAGGGGTTTAAACCCTGCATCTCAGGGGAGGGCTCAGACACTGACACACGTATCCAACTGAATATTCTTTCCCCATGAGGGAGCAGGCTCGAGCTTGGACTCCGACGGACACCCCCAGCTTCTGTGCGAGGGTTAACTGTGTGTGTCCGCCTGACCGGCCACGGAGGGCCAGACATTTGGACAGACATTAATCTGGGTGTGTCTGTGAGGGTGTTTCTGGATGAGATTAACATTAGGATGCATAGATTGAGTAGAACATTGTCCTCCCTAGCGTGGGTGGGCCTTACCCAATCAGTGGACGGCCTGACTAGCACAAAAGGGCTGAGTGCGGGGATCTCCTCCTGCCTGCCCATGTGAGCAGGCACAGGAGTCTCTTCCTGCCTCAGACCCAAGCAGACATGTTGGTCTTTGCTGGGTCTCCAGCCTGCTGGCTTGTAGACCAGCACTCACAGCCTCGGCTCTCCTGGGCCCCCGGCTTGCCAACTGCAGATCTCCGGACGTCTCAGGCTCCGTCGCCGCATGAGCCCATCCCTTGCGACAAACCTCCGCTATGGCTTCTGCTTCTCCGGAGAACGCTGACGGAAATGCTGTGCCCTTGGAATTGTTCCAGGAGCCTGCCCTCAGCGCGGGAGCCGGTGCCAAGGGGCCGCATCCAAGGAGACCGGCCTGTGCTCCGCTTCCCGGACCCAGCCCCCGTGTCCCCCCTGGGAACAAGCCATTCCACACCACCTGGCCTCCCTCCAGTGACCTCCCTCCACTCCCGCAAGTGAGCCTACGGCCTACCCTTGGGCCTTGTCAGCCTCACCACAGCCTTGCTTCTGAGATTTGCAAATGCCAAGCTCTCAGAACGCCCCGTCCTTCCAGGTGGCCCCATGCTCGCGGCACACACCCGCCTCCTCGCGGGCAGTCTGCTGCTCGCCCGGGCTTCCGGGGCTCGAGCTCTGTGGCCTCGTGGGGGTGGACCAGCTCTTTGTCACCTTCCAACTGTCTTTGGGAACACGTGTCCTCCAGGGTCACCTTGAAAGAAGCAAGGAGCTTACCTCACTTCCCCTGCTTGCCATTGGTTGGAACTCAGTCATGTGACCGGCCTTTGCATTCATGGGGCAACATACCCAGACCTGCCTTCTGGAGGAAGAGAGGAGCGGAGTGGGTCTGAGTGCCCCCCCAAGGCTGCCAAGACAAGCTGACAGTGGCCAGCTCCCCGCCGTGGGAATGAGCCCGTCCAAGACCAGTCAAGCTGAGCCCAATCATGGGAGCTGCAAAGCTTACCGTCATGCCCGCGGAGGTCCGGTGGGTGTTCATTAATTTAAGCGTTTTTTTAATGGCAGCTCCCTGCTGCAGGGACCCTATTTCTGTATTCGTCAGGATAGACCAGGTTATGTTGTGGTAACAAATAACTCCGAAGCCTAAACCGGACGTGACATCAGCTTGGCAGTCAGGACGCTTGCAGTGACCCCCCAGCGGCGGAGGCTGGGCCGGGGGGGGGGGATCCGTGTGATGCTGGCGGGATTCCCCGAGAACTGTTTGAGGTAACTTGGCAGGACAAGAAAGAGGCGGGCTCAAGGAGGAAGGTCCTGTTTGTGCACAGAAATGACAGCAAACGTGGAGACGCACCCAGAAATTCAGAACTTTGCAAGGTTGGAAAGCCAGCTGCCTCCAGAGCTGGAATTTTAAAAGCTTTTTTTTTTTTTTTTTAAGATTTTATTTATTTATTTGACAGAGAGAGCAAGAGAGCACAAGCAGAGGGAACAGTAGAGAGAGAGGGAGAAGCAGGCTCCCCACCGAGCAGGGAGCCCGACGCAGGGCTCGATCCCAGGACCCTGGGATCGTGACCTGAGCCGAAGGCAGACGCTTAACGACTGAGCCACCTAGGCGCCCCTAAAAGCTTTTTGAGGTGAAGGCAGAGTGCCACGCCTGAGTTGGGGCAGGCGAGGCAAAGATCCGAAGATGGGTAAGGGCTGTCTGGCAGAGCCCCTGGCGGCTGCCATCCATGTGGCAGACAGACACGAGAGCAAATAAACCCCAACATTCCCCTGGCTCTGCTAAGCCACTCGTGGCACAGTCTGGCGGGGGCTAGGCAGTCTTCCTCTGTCCTGAGCTGCCCTCGAAGGGACATGAGGCCTCCAGGGTCACCGTGCAAGGGGAAGGGAGTGCCGGGGGACGGGGCGGGGGCTCTGGAGGGGCCACTCCTGCCCATGTGCCCCTGGCCAGGGAGAGACAGCGGACTGGGCACATCACCTTGTCCCGTCTCCCTTGTACCACACGCTCGTGGCCACACCAGCCCGATGGCGTCCGACCTCCCTCCGCTCCTGAACCACGTGGCGTCGATGACACACCACACGCTGCTTTTGTGGCTCTGATACAGTGGGTCCCTCACCTTCAGGCAGCTGAACGTTTGGTTTCTTCTGCGTGGGATGTCCTGCCGTCCAACATACACACGCACACACCCGTACGCACCCGCGCACGCCCACGTGCATGTGTCCACGTGTGCCTCCTCACTTGCTTCCCTTGCAGCTTGGAGCTTGTCTCGCGGCGGAGATTCTGGGCGTCAGACGCCGGGGAGGAGCCGCACCGCAGGCTGTCTGACTGAGAGCTATCCCTGTCCAGCTTTTACGAAGAACGCAAAATGGAATACCTGGCGGGAAAGGAGGAGATCGGGAAACGTGGAACTCCTACCAAGAGAAGGCCGTGGATGCTTCCAGAAGCACGCGGGCAGACATGCTAAGGACACTCAGCCAAGTCTAACACTCATGGGAAGCGCAAGCAACTGAAATAACGGACTGGGGGACATGGGTTTGCCTTGTCCTAAGCAATGGAAATACTCATTCTGTCCAAAATAAAAGTTTTTGGAAATCTTGTTTGGAAAGTAGCAGCCCACACGTTCGTTTAAACAACAGCGGGGCTGAGGAGCTCGCCCACAGGCTGGGCCGGGACCGCAGCGCCCCCCACCCCGGCTCCTGCCCCACCTTCCCCGTCCCTGGTGCTGCCCGGCCGGCCGTCGCCCTCCCTCACCGGCCGCTGCCACTGCCCCACGCGGGGCTCCAGGCTATTTTTGTCTGGTGGGCAGATGAGGGCCCAGCTGGGTAAACAGAGCAAGGGGCTGCCTGTGGCCAAGGTCAGGGTGCACCTCGGGGAGGGCCTGCCCCCCCTCCATGGAAGGTTTTGAGGACCCACCCTTGCAGGGGCTGTGAAAGGCACGCCAGGCTGGGCTGCAGGGATGGGACCTGAGGGGGCCTGGCAGGCGGGGAGGGCGAGCCTCCCCCGCAGAGCCCAGAGGCTCTGACACCCCAACATTCGGCAGCCCCGCGGTGCCCAGGGGGACCCCAGCAGCACCAGGGCTGAGACCAGAGCAGAGGCGGTAGCTAGCAGATCTCGGGGCTCTGCCTCCAATCAGCCAGTAGCTGCTCTTGGGCTGACGCCCAGCCTCTCAGAGTCTCCCAGCTACTCCTTTGGCATTTTTTGAGTTTGGATCCTCACAGCCCTGGGTCGGAGTGGTGGCAGGGCTGCTGGCTGCCACACGAAGGCTCCTGGGGGACAGATGCCGAGCAGAGCCTCTGAGAAGGTCTGGCTGCAGCCTCTGGAGAATTTGCAGCAACCCTTCCTGGGGAGTCCAAAGGGGCTGTTCTGGGAGGGGTCACAAGGAAGGCCTGGGAGGCCAGTGACCGCCCGAGCCGGGGCGCTGGAAGGGCAGCAGTGGGGCCCGATAAGGGACAGCAGGCAGGGATGTGGCGAGGGGCGTGGGCTTCTCCTTCTGGCACCTGGGCCTGTCTCTGGAGCTCAGGAGTGGGTCAAAGCCTGCAGTGCGGTGAGAGTCCTCCGCTGACCCCAGGAGGGAGGGGGTGCTTACTGTCATGTGGCCAAGACTGGCCGCGGCCTGAAGAGAGCTGGGCCAGGCTGGCCGGGGCACTCTGCGGACAGAGAACATGGGGCCTGGCACGGGCTGTCCTCCACCGGCATGCCCCAGAGCCCAGCCCCCCATGCCCACGACGAGACTGTGTCCACTAGGGCGGAGGACTCGGCATCACACAGGCCACGCTCGAGAGCAAGAGAACCTAAAACATTTACTCTAAACAACCAAAGGGCCCAAGAAGAAATTACAGTGGAAAATTTAAAATACCTAGAAGCGAACGATGTTGAAAAAGTGACCTTCAGACCTCGCGGGCTGCAGCAGAGAGAGAGGGGCTGTGGGGAAGAGGCGTGGGGTCTTGGCCCTCACCTGGGACTGAGGTCCGGGACCAGAGCCACCAGCCACAGAAGCTGAAAGAAGCACCGCAGGACCCACCCGGTGGCGACAGTGGAGGGCAGAGTGCAGGGAAGGGTGGCGGGAGGGGTGCGGTGGGGAGGGTCCCCAGCCAGAAGCTTCCCCAAGGAGGCAAATAAAACCAGCAGTCTGGCAAGCTGGATCACGAAACACAAAAGCAATGAAAAATGTTAGGAGGTAAGAAGGGACAAGACAGGTTCAGCAGGAGGGGAAGTGGGTGTAGGACTCTAGTATCCAGTGGGCAGGTTCCGACCGGTCTGAGGATGGACGTGGGTGCGTTCGGGTGGCCCCTGTGGCCTGCTTTCCAAAAGTGACAACAGATTCCCTGAGTGTCTCGACACCAGCCGGGGTCCTGCGAGCCAACTCTGACTCGGCTGGCCCGGAGCCGGCATCAGACCCCACAGGTGAAGGGCTCAGCCCCCCAGGGCGGCCCCCACTGGAGGCGCCAATTGCAAGTCCAGGCTGTGTTCTGGAAATTGGGGGGTTCCCGTGATCCCTGCTCGGGGTCCACGATGTCCCAGAGCCGCACACAGAGCACAGGAAAGGGTTTCCCTTGCCATTACCTGTTTATTAGAAAGGATACCACTCAGGAACAGCCCCACGGAGGACCTGCGGGCAGCGAGGTGCCGGGGAAGGGCCGCGGGGCGTCCACGTGCTCTCTGGGTGCCCCCCTCCCGGCACCCGCACCTGTTCACCGACCAGTTCCCAGCGGCTCGGAGCCTGCCTGGCGGTTCCCCTGGGTGGGCATGGTGATTACCTGGGCGAGTGACTCCTTCTCCCGTCCTCCCCCCTCCCCGGGGCTGTCTGCACGCCTGACCTCTCTGGAGACGGGCCTCGGTCCCGAAGCCACCAGTCATCCCAGGCACACACCCGAGACACTGTCACTACTTCAGAGATGACAAGAGTTGTAGGAACTCTGTGCCCCGAACGGGAACAAAGACCAAATATTCATTTTTAATCATGTCACCGGCCACCCCTTGGTCTTTGACCAGATCCTTTATAGGAACATGATCATAAAGGTCACGGGCTACAGGCAGAGTAGTAGACTAGGTCCTGTCTGTTGTGGTCGTGCCCTGTGAGGACCTCTCCCGGGCCACCCAGCCCAGGTCTGCAGGCTCTGAAGGTGGGAGCGCACCCGGCCGTACACAGCCGGTCCTTGAGGGCTCCCGGTGCCGTGGGGCCAAGAGGCAGCGCCGTCTCCCGCTTTCTTGACGTGATCTGCACATTCGCTGTTATGTATTCATAATTTGTCCCCAGGCCCTCAGCTACTACTGTCCTGTCTCTCCGTTTGTGGTCTTTGGGAGGGCCCCCAGGCCTGGCCGCCAAGACTCCCTGCCCCAGGAGCGCCTCCCCTCCGTCCACCCCCATCCGACTACCAGACAACGGAGCTGCTCTCACTACGAACCCCGCTCTGCCAGATGGGGTGAGGGCTCAGCCGCCTCGTCAGGAACTCCGGTGCTAGGTTTAAAAAGGACCTCGCTACCGTTTCTGGCTTGGGGAGCGCCCGGCTCTGGCCCCGGGGCTGCAGCCCTGCTCTCGTGGGCAGGTGCACCTGGGCGGAGGCAGAGGAGTACCGTCACCATGCCCGTGTCCCCACAGCGCCCCTTCCCCAGACCCGTCAGGAACACACGCTGTATGACGGGGGCAGGGGGGCTCTCCATGAGTCCCGGTGGCGCTGAGTGTGAGCCCACGTGCGTGAAGGCCCTCGTGCTTTGCACAGCCGCTGCTTTCGCTGCCCGTTCCTTCGCCATCACACGAGTCCTCAGAGGGGAGGGCTCTCGGACGCCGGGGGCTGTGGACTGAGTCGCCTGAGCTGAAGAAACGACAGTCCGCCCCCCAGATCGGGGTGCTGTGCCCTGCTCCAGAAGCACCCTGAGCACCTGTGTCCACTGCCAGTCAGCACAGCCCAGAGTCCGTGTCCCTCCTGCCGGGACCCGTTTGTGGCCCTGGGGCCTCGGAGGCAGTGTCAGTGTCACCAGCCAGCTGTGCCCGGGGCTTCCCAGCAGGCCCTCGGAGCCCGCCTCTCTCCGGAGGCAGCCGGAGCCGCGCTTCTTGGCGTCCGGTGCCTCTGCGGGCGCCCCAGGAATGTGTCTGGGCTCTGTCCACCTCTGCACTGCCACCCCCACGACCACGCCTCCTCCGGGGAGCCCTCGGGGATATCCGCCCGCGGATGCATCACCTTCCAAACCTGGAAGGAACCCCTGCGACGGGCACTGAGGTGTCCTTTCGCGCACTGCTGCAGTTCCCACGGTCATTCCCACGGGCCGTGCCACGCACTGGCACCCTTCAGCAGGCCCGGTCCCATCACCTGCCCCCTGGACCATACGACCGGGCCACTGGCCACTGCCCACGAGTCCTCAGAAACCAAACGCCGGGCTTCTCCCAACGGTTCAAATCTTCCCTCGCGGCTGGGAGAGCAGTGAGCAGGGTGGCCCGTAGAGCTGATTGGCTGCCGGCTCCCTCCATCTGCACCACCGGGGCCTTCCAAACAGAGCCTTGTCTGTTCACCTGGGAACTGCCGCCGGCGACCCAGAAGCTCTTGGTCGCTGGGCGAGACCTGTTCAGGTAGAATCCGGCCCTTCCTGCCCCGGGGAGGAGAGGCTCCCTGCGGCACCGCCTCCTGGCACCTCCTGGACGGCACGGGGGCCGTATAAGCCACCGCCATCCCCGCCATCCCCCTGAGAGCGCTTTTCCACCATCAATTAGCATCGGGTAACAAGGTAATAACGCCCCTCAAATGGAGCTTCTCCCGCTCGCAGTCCCCACGGCCGTCGCTGGGAGGTGCCCATAGGCTCTTGCTGCAAACCCTGGCCGAGGGTCCACATGGGGCTGTGGCCAGAGAAGGCGCCTGCATCTACCCCTTGCGGCCTCAGGCCCCGTGGACGCTGCTCAGGCAGTGGGGCTGCGTGCCCACTGTTTGCTGGCACCGGGTGGGGGACACCCCCAGGCAGACGTCCATCCCCAGAACACGGTCCAGGAAAAGAGGAGACAGCTTTCATGAGGCCTGTCCCGCACTCCAGCCCCCAAAACCCGGCCCGCCTGTGCACGTGGCCCTCTCCAGGTCCGGTGGCGGCGGGTCAGGCTTGGCCGTGGGTTTGCTACCACCGTGCACACATCAGGGAGTCGGGGGGGGGGGCTTCTCTTCTGCACCCCAGTGAGGGTGGAGCCCAGACCCCAGTCCTCCGTCAACCTTTATCTGGATCAGGCGGCTGATTGTCGCCCCAGGGGCCTCCGGGTCTGCTTCCTCCCGGCGACCTTCGTTCCCGCTGCTCATCTTCCTCCACACGGGCGTCCCCGGCGTCCCGGCGGGTCAGCAGCAGGACGTCTGTCCCTTCGGCCCGCCCAGCCTCGATGGTGCTGTATGAGGGCCTCTGTCCCGTCCCACCCATGTGTGTTTTCTCCCTCCGATTTCTTAGTAACCATCTGGAGACTCCCACCCCGCCGAGTTGCTGGTTCACAGAATTTCACCAAATCCCCTTTTCTTTCCTTTGGTTCCACCGTTGTTGTGCAGAGGACGCCAGCTTTGCTGCTTGGTATCATTAAAATATATTTTGCGAGCTGTAGAAGGCAAGCTGAGCAGAACAGGACTGGGGTGGGGGTGCGCATGGCCAGAGACCGACTGTCCCGCACCGCAGGACCCACGAGACTCGGGGCCTCCTCGTCGGGGGGACAAGGTCTGCTGCTGCCCCCGTGCTCTACTTTTGGCGCCTTGTTAGGCGGGAATGTGCTTGCTCTCGGAGGTGTGCGTGTGCGCGCACGCGTGTGATTGGAAACACAAGGGGAGGGCTGGGGTGGGTATTTGTCACGTCGTCACGTTTTTGGCTGCCTGTGCCAGAACGGTCCTTCGGTTTTGGGGGGACCCCCCCTTTGTTGGTCCTGCTGGGGGCTTGGGATTTTTAGCAGAGGGTGCACAGCCTCAGGGACAGTAGGAGCACGTATCAGAGAGGGGGTTTGGGTGTCCAGGGGGAGCGCCTGGCTACTGGATTTCTAGTGTCCTCCAGCACTCACACCGCAGGTCCTGCCTCGGGCCCTGCACCTGTGAGCACAGTGTCCTTGGAAGTGTGAGATTTGCTGTCCGAGAGACGGAGGTTCCCAGTGGACCTCTTGCAGCCACAGGGACCCTTGAAAGCAGAGTACTCGCCCGCCGGAGGGAAGGGGCGGTCGGAAGGATGGACAGGCCCTCGCTGCCTTGGAGGCGAAGGCTTCTCATGCAAAGGATGTGGTCTTAGGGAGCAGAGGACCGTCCTCACTGACGGCCATCAGGGAGGGGCCCTCGGTCCCACCGCTGCACGGACCCGTGTTCCGCCAACAGCCTGGCCTCCTCCTCCCCCGTCCCTCCGCCACGTAGCAGAAAACACCTCACATCGTCCTTGTAAGGCTCGCGGTTGAGCCGGCTGAGCCTCTGTGAGCACACAGGTGGTGGGACAGGCGGTTCAAACGTGTCAGTCGTCCTGGAGCAGCCGAGGGCCCCCCGAGGGTCCACTTGCACCCAGGCGGCCGTGGAGAACATCTGCTTCAGTTGTGGGCTAAAGCTTGGGGCTCCCCTGGGAGCGTCTGAAGAAGCTGGGCTCCTGGGGCTGGCAGCCGGGCACTCTGGGAAGCAGAGGGGACTGTGAGAATGTTCTAGAATGCACGGGGGCCGGGCAGGATGCCTGGGCAGGAAAGGGCCCAGAAAGCCAGGGCACAGGGGTTGGGCGTCTGGGTCTGGGTCCTTCCTGGGGCGCACTTGTGAGGTCAGGTCTTGGTGGGGAGTGGCGTGAAGGGGGGGGTCCCTGTGGGGCTGTAGGAGTGCGTGCAACGCTCCAGCGGCTCCCCTCCAGTGGCCAGGGAGCCAGCCTGAGCACCCGGCTGCCTCCGCCTGCTGCTGGCCTCTGCCCCTTGGGGGATGGGGTGCGCGGGGCGGGGGGCAGGTTGGGGCCTACCTCCGGCTCAGGGTGTATTTGCCCTTGCGGTCCAAGCTGCCACCAGAGCGAATGGCGAACCAGAGAAAGGAGCTGAGCAGCATCGCGTACACCTGGGAGGGCGGAGGCGTCAGCATCAGCGCCTGTGGCTCCCGGGGAGGGGCGCACGGCCGCCCTAGAGGCACTGGGCTCTGCAGGGCTCCCAACTGTCTTGGGAAGGCGGTGAGGTACTGTCCCCTGCCAGGCTGCCTCCCTGCGGTCAGCAGCCTCCTCTCTGGCTCCCAGTACACACGGGGAGCCCTGCTGCTCCCCGAGGCCCCTGCTGTTCCATTGGGGTGGGGGATCCGCGGGTGGAGGGGCGGCAGCTGGGGAAGGGGTGCTGAGGGAGGGCAAAGTACCATGGCGGCGAGGCCGATGCCGGTCAGGGTGGAGGCGATGTTTCTGTGCGTCCTCAGGAAGCTCCTGATCCCCACCAGGCAGTCCTGAGCAGAGGGCAGCTCGCGTGGCACCCGCCCTGGCTGTCCCCTCCCTGCCCGGGGTGAGGGTCTCTAGCGCCCGCCTGGGCCGAGTGCTAGGGCAATGGGAGGTCAGTGGGGGCTGGGGCCGTGCGACCTACCGCCCCAGAGCTCTGGGGGAAGGCATCACAAACAGGCGGAAAGCAGCAGGATGGAGTGGGCCTCCATGGGGACGGAAGGTCGCTGCCCCAGGGTCCTGCACGTGCCTTTCTTAGCGCCCGCTGACCTGCCTGGGCTGGGTCACGGGTCTGGCTCCCCTGGGCAGGCCGAGTCTCCCTCACTCCCTGGCCCAGGGCGAGGGGAGGGCAGAGAAATAGCTGGTGGAGGGGCTGGGGTCCTGGGCTGCCCCAGCCTCCTGCTCTATCCCTGACCCCAGTGCCTCCCCAGGGCAGGGCATCCACAGAGGCTCTCTCTGGAGGAAAAGGGAGGTGACCGTCCCATCTCTGAACCACTCAGATGGTGGCATTTGGTTTGGGGGAAGACGCTGGCATTTTGGGGAGGCCCGGTGAGACGTTCGGGATGCTCTTCTGAAGGCTGGGATGGGGAGGGACAGGAGGCTAGCTTGGCGTCTGTCTGTGCATCCACCTGTCCACCTGTTGCTGGATAGGGGCTGGACCCTCCAGCCTCCGTACTGCCACCCAGGCCTCTGTCCTGGCTGGAGTCCCGCCCCTGCTCAGACCTGGGCCACAGGACTGACTGGCTGGCCTGGAGGTTGGGACCTCTGGCCTCCAGGGGCAGCCGGAAACGGTCCCAGGAACCCGGGGCCACAACCCTGCAGCCTGGCCTGGGTGCCCCGTGGGAAAGCGGCCCCTGATCAGCCCCTGCTCCCCGTGTGGCCACACGTCCTCCCGGTAGGCAGCCTGGGGGCCTGACCACCCTCCAGGACACCACCCCAGCCACTCCCATGCCCTCCCCAGGGCAGCTCTAGCATCCACACCCACGCTCTGTGGCCTTTACGGTGGGGACCCCTCCGTTCTGGAAGGCCACAGAGCCGTCCCTCAGCCCACTTTGCTGACGGGCACCGGAGGCCTCTCCCTGAGAGGCACGCGCTCTCAGCCCCCTCCCAGGCATGCTGGGCCCTCTGCTGCCCCCACCCTTCCCTTCTGGGCCAGGAGCCATTTGCATCCTCCTGTCTGCTCCTTGGAAGGCAGCCGGGAGCCTCTCGCCCAGAGATAGGGGTGGGTTTGTTTCCCGGACAGCGGGGGAGGGGAGCCGGGAGGGCGGCTGCCGTCAGGGAGGGCTGGTGGGGAAGCTGGAGGAGGTGCCAGGCCCCTCTCTGGGCCATGGGGAAGAAGGGACTTCCTGGCTCTGCGTGCCACTGACCCTCCCTGTCCCTTCCGTGGAATGTCCTTCTGGCTCCTTCCCAAGGAGCCCCCTCCAGACCAATGTCTGTCTTCCTCCTCCCTGTGCGCTTCTGGAGGCTTCCGAGGGCAGGCGTGACCTCGGAGGGGATGAAAGAGTGAAGGGAGCAAGGGGCCGAGTCCAGCCCTCACTGCGGCCTCCAGGAGTCCTGCAGTGGGGGGGGGGGGGGGGGGGGGGGGGGGGGGGGGGGGGGGGGGGGGGGCAGGTCCGGGCCTCCCCTCCTCACCTGTCTGGCTGCCTGCTCTCCCCGACACAGACCGGCCTCCACGTCCCCCAGGAGGCTGAAAGGAGAGCTCTTGCCACAGCACAGGAACTGCAAGAACGTATGGAGGGATGTGTCTGCAAGGCGGGGCAGGTGGGGGGCAGCACAAGGAGGCCACCGGCGAGGGGCACCCAGCAGAGCTGCCCCAAGAGGCCAGGGCCACGGGCCGCGTGCGGAGGGTGGCAGGCACCGGGCAGCCCGGCCCTCCCGGCCCCGCGGCTTCCCCATAAAAAGAGGGCTCTTAACTGTCCACCACAAGCTGTCAGCACAGCCACCGCCCGCCCCGCGGATGGTGCACCTGCTGGCGCCCGCCTCCCGAGCTGAGACCCGGTGGCCACTGGGGCCTTGCTTCATGCTGTGCTGTCACCAGCCTGAAGTTCTTAATCAGTTTTGGACAAGAAACCTTTCCATGTTGCTTTGGCCCCCAAATTAGGTAGCCAGCCCCAGCCAGGCCAGAGGGAGAAGACAAGAGGTCTTGGTCCCGCCCTCCCCACTACCGAGAGGGTGTCGGTGGCCTGTGTCCCGGGACCCCCAGCTCAGCAGCTGGGCGGGGGCCGGCTGATTCTGGGGGCAGGCCACTCCTATACCCATTTTCTGGGTTGCAGTCCAACTGGGGAGGCTGAATGTTCCGGAGCCAGCCTGGCGAGGGGGAGGCCACCCCCCCGCCCGACATGCTCACCGTGTCCTGAATGGCCACCAGCTGCTGCCGCGGGGTTCCGGACAAGTTCTTCACCGCCCGGTCATACACCAGGTCGTAGGCGTCCAGCAAAGCATCCTCCACCTGCACCAAGAGCATGATGGGAAGACCTCCGTGCTGGTGAAGCCCCCTCCTGAGAGACGCGGCTCCCCAGTGGGGGGCCTGGCCTGAGTGTGCCGTCCTAACAGCTTCCCTCCTCCTTTCATTGGGCAGAGCCCCCTGAGGGCAGAACCTGGGTCTCCTGGGGGGCTGGTCCCCAGACTGCCACCATGGGGCCCCCTCCCAACAAGAATGACCACTACCGTCCCCGTCCCGCGCTGGGGCCAGCTTCCTGCACGACGCGCCAGAGACCCAAGCCCTGTGGCCTGCCTCCAGCGCTGGTCTTTCGGGGTGTGGAGGGCCTGGCCGAGGGAAGGGCCCACCCTGTGTCTGTCCATCTGGGTGGTGGGACAGGGAAAGCCGACAGCCAGGCCTGGGCAGAGGAGGCTGGGAGAAGCCTCCCGCCAGGAGCTCAGCTCCCCGCTGATGGTCTAGGTCTCTCCCTAGAACCACCTGGTGGGTTCCAAAACCCCGGGCAGCTAGGCTCCAGGCAAGGCCTTTGACCAAAGAAACCATGGGCGTCCAGGGCCAGCTCTGGGCAGACAAGGCAGATAATGGGGAAAGAAGGTATTGGCCAGGGGCCCGGCCAGGTGCTGCCTTCATTGCGCACCCCAGCGTCACCCAGACCCCACTGCTTCTACCCTCCTAAGCACCTCCTTCTGCCTTTGCTCACGCCACTCCCCGCAAACCTAAATGCCCACCCTTGCCACGTTAGTCCCCCAAAGACAAACCAGAATCTCACCTCCTCCAGGAAGGCTTCCTCGACTGCTCTGGACTCAGCAGTCTCCTGGCACAGGCCAGGCTTCTTTGCTCCTCCCTTGCCCTCTGAAGCCTCCTGTGCCCTCCCAGAGACCCCGAGCACTCACACCCTGCCCCTTTTCCCACCCTGTGCTGTGCCGAGCTTACAGCTGGGACACAGCGGTGGCTGCTCAGGGCTGCCCTCCAGGGCTCGGGTAAACTGATGCCCTTGCCTGCTCCGGCCACTCATGCGCTCCCGGAAAGGGTGGCCATCCGTCCGGCAGCCTGGGGGCCTGGGGTAGGTGGGCCACAGAGGCTGCCTCGACAGGAACCAGAGGGACTTTCATCCCAACCCCACCCCCACTTCTGGCACTATCTGGCCCTCCCGTGGAGACATGCACTGCAAGCCATCCCGAATTGGGTCAGCTGGCTTCTAGCCAACCCGCTGGGAGGTGGGCAGTGCCCTGGGCTGGAGGGCAGGCGTCAGGCTGGCCACCACGGCTGCGGGGCCTGGCCAGTGGCCCTCTTTCTGCCTGTTGCCTCAAGACCACGAAGCCTCTGTGTCCTCACAGGAGGGGGCCCAGGGAGGCTGGGGGCCCAGTAGAGTGGGCCTGGGGTCAGTGGGCAAGTGGCTGAGACAAGGAGGCAAGCTCAGACCACCCTCCTGGTTCCATCCCCCCACTAGGGCCCCGGGAGTAGCCGGGTGCCCCGAGGCCAGCTCTCTCTATTGTAACCTTGGCCTAGGAACAGTGTGCTGCCCTGGAGTCTGTCCCTACCACCCCAGAAGCAGGGGACATGAGCCCCTGGCTGCAGGCAAAGATGCAGATCCTGCCAAGCCACCTCCCTCACCCTAGACTCCCGGGCCTGGTGGTGGGGGCCAGGCTGGACTCTTCCCAAAGGCCTGGGCATCTGTCCCCCATTACTGAATTGAGAGGGTGCTCTAGGAGCCTGAGTCCGTGTTTCCCCAGGAGAAAACTGGGGTGGACCAGGTGGTCTCAGAGGCCACTAGGCCCTGCCACCTCTGAGCCCCCTGCCAGGGTCCCCCCTCCTTAAGCCTGACTTCAGACCTCCAGGGGTGCCCCCCAGGATGGATTTGGAGCAACAAGGGTGGAGAGTGGCAGCTAGAAAACCCCGTGAGGGGCAGGGGCACCCTCTCACTGCCCCCCCGCCCCGGGACCGTGGCCTGCTTTGAGGCCACGGAAGAACGTGGCTGGTCCCTTCTAACTGCATTCTCTGGCTTCCTGTCTGTAGGGTTGCCCCAGGCCGCTGTCGGCACCATGTATTTCAGGATATCTTGGGGGGTTGTCAGCTGGACCCTGGAGAACGAAGGAGCCTGGGGCTGGGACGTATCTGTGCTGGGAGGGTCCCGAGGCTCAGGTTCCCGGGGGAGGCCCAGGATGGAAGGCACCCCTCATGCAAGCCCAGACACCTCTGCAATAGTCCCACCGAGCCCTTCACTGGCCCCGTTCCTGCTGCGTGGCAGCCCCTCGCGGGTCTCTGCGTCCCCCCTCCACCGGGGTGGAAACTGAGGCCGGGAAGGCAGCTGGTTGCCCAAGGGTACCAGGCGGGGAGGCTGAGCCCAGGCTGAGGCAGAGCTCCCGTGACCAGGCCACTTCTGTGCCCGCAGGGGCCTGGACACGCACACACACGGCACTGGGAGGCGGATGGGGCCCCCCAGGCCTCAGGCCTGGGAGGAGGCCCAGCCCCCATCAGGGGTCAGGCAAAACCCCGAGAACCGACCCCCGAGGGCCAGGCAGAGCCTGGACCAGATCAAGAGGTTTCATGGGGGATGGTGGTGGGGGGTTGGGACAGAAGAGGCCCAGCTGGGAGCTGTCCGGCTTCCATCCCCTCCCCTTCTCAGAGCAGGATCCCCATCTGGCCCGTGGCCTGCGGCCCCTGCACAGCCCCTCCCCTGCAGAGCCCAGCATCCGGGGCTCCAGCTATAAACACAGCGTGTCAGAGAAGAGAGGACGGGCTGTAACCATCCCCGGAGAGCCGCAGGGGGCCCCAGGGCACCCTGGCAGCTGTCCTGAGCAGGCCCACCCACGCTGTGACCCAGACCAGCAAGGGGCCGGACCAGTGGAAGGAAAGATGAGCCTGAAATGCCTGCCCGCCCGGCTCTCCTTGGGCAAGCCTGCTGGCCAGCCCCACCAAGGGCCCCGCTCAACTTGCAGGGGCACCAACCCCCTCCAAGAGCCTCGCAGCCAGAGGAAATGTCACGGGGGGGAGGTGACCCCAAATGATGCCAGGGTGGCAGTGGGCAGTCTGGGGGAGATCCTTGGGCAGGGAAGGGAGAAGAGGCATTGACTCAGGGCCCTGGATGGTGGGCTGGATTCTCCTGGGTCCTCCTGCCTGGTTCTGCCAGCGTGACCTGACTCCCCACCCCCCGGGGCTGAGTACCTCCTCTGCAAGACAAGGGCATGGCCGCCACGCTCGACCTGGTAACCCAGACTCATGGACCCCAAGGAGCATGGAGTGGGAGAAGCGGAGCCCACTTCTGGGGCACGGGAAGCCAGGACCAGAGAGGGTAATCACACAGCTAAAAGCACACAGTACGAACCCGGCCCAGGGTCCTGAGCCAGCTGCCGCCTGTGAGGCTCTGCTCCCGCATGACCATCGGGGGTGGGGGGTGGGGGGAGGACAGAGAGGCTGGAGCCACTGGGGACTGAGACACACAGGCAAGAAATCACGCCTGTCCTGTGCTGCTCACACAGTGTTTTGCCAGAAGCCGAGTACGTTTCAGGCAGACTGGCCTCGGTGTCCCTGGGCTGGTCCTTGTGGAACGCATGGAGAAACTGAGGCCCATTGAGAGGAGGGGCTGCTGGGGATCACAGAAACTCAGGGCAGACAGGGCCTATGCAAGACAGCTCCCCTGCCCCTCTCTGCGGCCCCTCCTGCTGGCCCCCTGGCTTCCCAGCCGCCCCGGGGGGCTTGCCTGGGTCTGGGCTCTCACGGGATCTTGTCCACGGCTGGGGGCTGCAGGAAGGCCCGTCCCTTGTCCCTTTGGCCTCTGCCAGGAAGCAGCTGGGCTAGCAGCTGGCCCCTACTTGCCATCCTGCCGGGGCCCCTCTCTCCGAGCCTCTTGAGTCCCCACTTGCTCTGCCCAGACAGGGGGCCTGGCCTTGACCCCCAGCCCTGGTCCGGGAGGGGGCCGGCCCCACACATGCACTGGCCAGCCCCAACCCCCAGGCTGGCTCTCGGCTTCATCTCAGGGCCCTGAATCCAGACAGAATTTCTGGAGGGCCAGGCTGTCCTGGCTCCTGTGCCCCAGAGGCTCCTCCCAAGCTGTGGCCCTGCCCTGCTCCCCTGGGTCAGCGCCCAGGCCTGCAGGCTTCGAGCCCCACTCACATACGTGCTCTGGGGGCCGTGGCCCTCGTGACTGAGTTAGCCCAGAGCTGGTGCTTCCCCCAACCCCCCAAAATGGGACAAGGGCCCTCTCACATCCATCGACACTCAGCTGAGCCAGCCAGCACCCAGAAACCATCAGCGGAGTAGATGGATGGATGGACAGATGAAGGAAGGAAGGAAGGCAGGCATCACCTCCTGCGGGGTGGGGGGGTCCATCCCCACCATGACCGTGGGCATCACCACCCCAGTCACCACCAACACAGAAGCCCTGGGAAGAGCCCACAATGGGGGTGGGGCCAGGACAATAGCCAGCAGCCCCCCTCCCGCTGGGCCGCCCCTGCTCCAGGACTGAAGGGAGGATGTCCTCCTGGGGCCTGGACGCTGGCAGGGCCCACTCGGGAGCACAGTCCCTTTTGGGCAGTTTCCAGAGCACTGACCCCTCTAAGCAGTCCCTCAGGTCAGCCGGGACCCCCCCTCCCTGCTCTTCATACCCTTTCCAACTCCCGGCCCCTCTCAGGGCCCGGCAGAGGGCAGGGCTGAGGGGCTTGGGGGTGAGGGGATCAGAAGCCCGCACCTGCCCCTGCTTCCCTGGGAGCTCCTGCCCCAGCCCCAGAGAGGCCAGGCCCTCAGGGCCCTGTGCCCCCCTTCAGGCAGAGGATGTCCCCCCAGAATGGTCTCTCCCGGTGGAGGGGCGACTTTCCCGGTTCAGGTACCCCTCCGCGGTGTGATGGGGGTGGGGCCAGGCGCTCACCTGGGTGGGGTTGTGGAATCTCCAGAAGGCCACCTGCACCAGGGCGCCGAACACCAGGGCAAAGCACAGGAAGCCCTAGGACAGAGGAGGCACAGGTCACGGTGTGCAGCCCAGCGGGCCACCTGCAGGCCACCTGCAGTCCTGGGCCGTCCCCGCGGGCTGCTGCCCCCCGAGGGGGAGACCCACCGTGGCCTGCGGGGGGCACACTCTTCCCACCCCTTCTGGCCCTTTTGGGAACTCTCTCCCCATTCCGGTCCTGGCTCACGAGGGCACGTCGATGGCAGAGCCACGTCCCCTCCCCCAGGGAGGGAGGGAGTCCCCAGTTGATGGAAGCCCCCGCCCAGTGGGGCTGCTTCCGAGGATGGGCCCTGGGAGAAGAAACTTCCCCTCTTCAGGAGGGTCCAGGCGGGCGCAGCGTGGCTCTGGGGCTGCCCGCTGCCCTGGCCAGGGGGCTCCCTGCAGGTTCCCAGCAGAGACAGCTGGTGGGGCACCCCGAGGTAGGGTGAGCCTGGCAGGGAAGCACCCCCACCCCGTCTTCAGACCCTGTGCAGTCCCCTGACTTATCCCCCTGGGACCCCAATATTGGAGATGGGAGTTCTCTGGGGGGAACGTCTTTCCATCACCAGCACCCCCACAGTGCCCTTCTCTCTGTTGGTCGGGGCGTTGGAGCTGTTGACCTCCCCACTTGCAGAAGCCGGGAATCTTACGGACCCCGCCCCTGAGAAATGCACTTCACAGGCCCCAGGACTCTTTTGTGGGCAGTTTCAGAGGGTCACCCCAGACTAGGATCCCCAGCCTATATGCTGCCCTGGGGACATTATCCCCACCCAGAGCTCGGCCTGCCACCTGCATGCTAGGGACCCTCAGACTGGGTCTCCCACCTCGTCTCCTAGAGCTCTGGGCAGCTCATCGGGCAGCCGGCCACACAGCCTCGGTGTCCAGAGGGCTGATGTGTCTGCATCACCTCCTCCCTCCTGCACCGGCTTTGTGGGAGCCCCGCTGCCCCGGGCCATGTGTCCCTGGCTGGGCTGACACAGCACCCCTTCCGGGCGCATCTGCAGCCCGGCACAGGCTGGGGCCGGGTTCTCCCCACCCAGGGGCCTCCTCGTGAAGGGCGAGACCCAGGAGAATAGATGACCAGTGGAATGGAGAGATGCCTGCAGACACAGGCGGACACACGGACAGGGGCTGTGGGTGGCGCCGGCACCAAGAACCGGCCCCACCAGGTGCTGGGAAAGAGCGGGCCACCCCCACCAGCGCCCGGTCTTAGTTCGGGCACAGGGGCCTCTGGCTGTGCTCAGGGGCGGGCAGCCCCTGCGTTCTCCTGCTCCCTCCTGCCCGCCCAGGGGCCTGCAAGGGCCTCGGTGTCCAGGACATGGGTTCCTCCCTCCCTCTCCTCCTTCCTTCCTCCTCCCTCCTC